GAGACTTTTCATATCTTAGTTAAAGAATGATTGTACTGCCCTTTTAAAAACTTTTCAAGCCTGGTTATGAAGAAAGCTTTTTCTAAATTGAACGATTTACTGAATGATATTTTAATCTTGGCTAACTAGAAACACCTAGTAGAGTCTTTTGAAAGCATACGTCCCCGGTATAGTTGCCCCGAGACGATTGACTTATGGCCAATATCGTTTAAATTGCAGGTAATTAAACCTTCTCTGATGGCTTATAAATGGCCCAGCAGTCGCGACCGAGGAGGAGCAAGTTTGAATGATTTGCGATTTACTACCCTTACACAAATGGTACATCATGTAATTGCATGCTTTTCAGCTAAGAAGTCTTAAATTCCGAACTTAAATTTATACAAAAATCTGCCGTTATTTGCACGCACCGCATTCTCCAAGCACCCCTCTACCATTGCATATTTCCGATCGCTGTAAATAGGATATCGAGTCATAAGTCAGTGTTTAGGGTCGTTGCACCTCTAACAATAAGACAGATGCCAGAACCACTGGTTTTCCATACTTCTCAGTTGAGAATGAATAGTTGGCGACAGCCAATAAGCCAGAAGAAGCCATTTCAGTCTACAATGCCTTTGTCGGCAATGTCATTGTGCCCGTATATCGCGCCGCTGTGCAACTGCTAGTTGGGCTCAAAAAAGAGCCCAATGACCCAACGCGGCTCGAGTGATTCCTGAAGAACGACGATGAGCGCTCTTTTATCAATCTGTAGGACAACTATGAATTCCTGACAACACCGAAGTTCTGTATAAAGTATGCCTACAACGTAAGCCGTCATTTACTACCGAGCTAAGCAATATTTTTATCCATGGGTTATTTTATTTATCCACTGACAATAATAACTGCAGCCGAAGGTGATAGGAAAGCAAAATATTTGGCTAATAGTCAACACCGATGAACTTGATTGAAATTATTATGCTGATAATTCGAAGTGCTTCTCTACAAACAAGACTGCGTTTGATTACAAACCCATCAGCTCAACAATATTTTCCAGTTAGAATGGGACAACCACAGATCCCGTTTAGTTGCACTTAAGGGCTAAAGCATTCTCAATTTTTCTGCAGGCAATTCGCCGACTTGTGTGTAGAAAGTGGTTTTATGTAAACAGTCCACCACTTCAGCAAGCAGGATACTGTAAGAGAAGTGCAACGGACGTTCAGGGTAGAATGTGTGGACGCGAACACTTTTCATGAAATTACCTAAAAATAACGCGGCCTAGATATTAAGGAAGACGAAAAGGAGAATGAAGACTTCTTCGGTTTAAAAAAAATCTTTTAATACCGTTGAGGTTTCAACGCATTCAGGCCATGCATTTAGGCAGCTATCAGGAATGCTTGTTCTACCGGATGGATACGAATATGAATATTTTTATGCATGTTTTATATGAAACTTTAAGGACATCAAACTTCAATTATGATACCTCATGTTATATTAGCAGTCCGTTTTACAAAATATGGTTTTTTCATGTTGCGATAAAGAAGTTCTTTCGAAAGAATTCTTTTCAAACCGGGAACGTGTTTTAGAATTGTTGTTAAAAATTCATGCGTAGGCACACCTGCCCTATAACTCATTAACTATGATTGTGATTACGTGTATTTTACACTGCACACATGGGCAAGTTTTCCATGAATGTAAAATGAAAAGTTTTTTACTACTGAGTCAACTAGAGTATGTCCGACCCCGTATTAGACATTGATCAAGCCCAAATTTTGATATAACTTTATTGTCAAAAAAGTATTCTGTTAGGCACCGACTCAGGTTTGATAAGACTGTTCTATAAATGGCTATATTATAAAAATAGACTTTACGTGATATTTTGAGCACAGGCGGAAACGTAGCACTTAGCAAATGAAAATCATTCTTTCTTATGGCACTTGGTGCACATATGTTTATAAGTATCAAACTATAGCTGTACGGACCTTACTTGAAATATCCTATTGTATTTTGTATAAAGGAAGTATTAATGCAGAATAAATAAAGCAGATAAGCCATCCTTGCATAAAATCCAATCTAATTGTCAACCCAAAATTAAGTAAAACCAGATCACATAGTCATCATGCTAGCGCGTTTTTATTACAAATCGGAATTAAATTTAAACACACGTTTTTGCCTAGTCGCGAAACAGATAACTGTCGTAAAATCATAAAAAACTTAGACGGCGTTTTTAAACTTAATCTTGTCACTAGCTTAAACACAGTAGCAGGAGACACGGCTATAATAATTTTACGTCACGTATGCTTGGCCTCTAAGGTGGAACTTGTGAAATTTTAATGGCGAAAGATGACGGGTAAGTATGGCACCACGTCAAAAAACTGCTAATCAACTGAAACCCAATTGCTGCACATAAAAAAGATGAGGTCGGCTACTGCATGCCAATGTTTTGTGATTTGTGAGTAACTTTGCTGAAATCCATCCTTTTTGTTTTAGAAATCCCGCCATTGACGACGGTTTTTCAGTACCGGTTTATTGGTATATTATCAATGCTCAAATAGCTTTGACTCCGAGCCGTTCGCAAAGTGCGTGCTGGTCATTCAGCTGTGAAAACATATTTGGCTTGAAGCAAGTTAAATACAATTAAAAAACATCTGCATATGACGCGCCGCATGACTTGTAGGCTAAAACATTAGCGGCCGACAGTTTACCAATGCCTCTTAAACAGAAGGACGATTGTAGTTTGCCCAAATATAGAAATGTAAAAAATTAAATCTCAATGTGTTTTCTTGTTTTCTTGTCATTCAAAATTTGATTCCACTAGGCAGTACACGCTTACGATTTTGATAGTTAGGCCAAGTCGAAATAAAGGTTTTGGGATTGATAGCCCACTTGCGCCATGTCAAAGCATGACAACGTTGTTCTTAAATCAGTTTTTTCGGACAACCGTAGTCCCTGAAACTGGAACAGTTGAAGTGCTGCGTAAGAAATAAAGTCAAAACATGCAACTTTATGCATTCAAAAGTTTAAAAAAAGTGTAACGCCTTTCGAAAAATGTTGATTGTTTGGTTTGCTCAAAGGCACTTAAAACAAGCGGTTCTTTTGTTTATTTTTGTTTGCAAAACAAACGGCAATTATTTATTTGAGACTTTAATCATACAATACAAAATATATGAAATCGTCATATCTTAGCCTACAAATGATAATAAACGATCAAATGATATATAGCATTCTGGGATTATACACCAATAAAAATTCAACTTGCTAAAAACACGCTGTTACACCTCGAAATACACAAGTACTCAAAAAAATCACTTATTGAGAGTTACATTTTATTCTTTCCAGTTCGTACAATGTAGGGCCCAAAAATAAGTCCGACTTTTTATAAAATTAAATGTCTTGATGTAAATACTTATGAGCCAAATTGAATAGGATTAAACGAACTTCCATTTCTGAAAGAGTAGGAAAGTTTAAATTATTGAGACGCGCACTTCCACTAAATTATTTGAAAATCGCTTTTGCTTGAACTCTTTTAAGCACTCAGGACAGAGTAATCTACGCCTCGTTTGAAGGATGTTAGAAATAGGTAAGTATGCCTAAAGAATAATATACAGCAGGACATTTACTTATTAAAGACAACACGAATGTTTTATGTAACATGAACAAAAAATTATTACTATACCATACGGTGAAAGTAAAACCAAGTATGCTATCTAGCCAACTTTGAGTATTATTAGAAGGATTTAAAAAAACATTTCAAAAAAGACATAAAAAGTCTCGCGATCTCAACCGCTTTTTCGGCATCGTTTTGGTTGGCTTATACAAAACAGTCAGATTTGTGTATAGCTAAGGGACTTTAAATGCACATTATACACCATTTTCAAGTACACATTTGCCAGAATTACTAATGGAAACAATCTATCTAACGGCTTTCCCTTAAATTTAAAGGATCTTGTGGAAGCTTTATGTATACGACACACAGTTCTGCCCGGGACCAATGATGCCGAGAAGTGAAATTAGTATGCGGATTTGATCTTTATTTTTTCTTGATATTAGAATTGAAAAGTATAAACCGCATTTAGCTACCTTACTCAAGAATCGTGTGCTTGAAATGCCACTTTTTAATTCCCTCAGATCTTTTTTACGAATTTGCAGTAGATCAGTTTATTAATGGTCAACAGGCTCAGACCATCTGTGTGTTTGAATGTTTGGGCCGAAGTACATCAGCCACAACATTTTAACCGCTTAAAATTCATCAACTACGACAGGCGGCTAGTAGTACACCTGTTGTAAAAGGTAATGTTCTCACAAAGTAAAGAGTTATACCTCACGGGCCCCTAGCCTTAAAGCAGCGAGCAAAAATGGAGCAGTGAATAATATAGAGATTTTGAACGTTAAGAAAACTGACAACAGACCACGACAGAGGAGCACGCTAGCAAGGCGGTTTGTACAGGTGTGTCGTTTCTCGTCACATTCAAACAAGCAATGCGGTCAAAGAAAATGGGCCTAAATTGTCAAAGGCAAATTAGTCAGGTAATCACCACAGTAACCCCTACTAGACCGGAGGGCGACGGAATACGGCGCCGGAGGCTATGCATAAGTCTAGAAAAAGTGCCTAACTAAACGATCCGGGAAATGAACATGACGGCCACTGCGAGTGATGTACGCAGGAGGCACAGTCGAATAGGGTTGACTTCGTGCTATGGTGGAGGATGATGTTGCATTTGGATGTTGTAGACATGTAGAGAGAGAAAGTATGCGGGACGGGGTAATAGAGGGCAAGGGAGGTGAAGGTCGAGGCAGTGGGTAGGGGGAATGAGCAGGGGATAGGAAGATGGAGGAACAGGGGTTAGGGGATCAGCACATTTTTGTCCTTGTGGCAGGTCCGGCGACTCCTCTGCAACAGCAGCCTTGACCCGATCGACACTGACCATGTCCTCCTTGTCACTGCAAAGAATCCGGCAGGTCTTGGCGTTGCGCGCGAGCACGCGGAACGTCCTTCTTACAGTGATTCCAGCGGCTGGCGCACACGGTCACAGCGGACGATCAGATGAGTAAACTTGTCCAAGCCTTTTTCGACATAAGACTCTGTCACTGGAGCTCGAGGTGGAACCTCGGAGGGTAGGTAGGAGTCGGAGGGTAGTGCCGAAAACCAATTCAGCTGAGCTACAGCCCAGATCCGACTTCAGAGCTGCGCGGATGCCGAGGAGTGCAAGAGGAAGGTTGTCCGACCAGTTTCCTGGGTCTTCTACGGCACGCAGAGCGGTCTTTAGCTGACGATGGAAACGTTCCACCATACCGTTAGCAGCTAGGTGGTAGGCTGTCGTCCGAATGCGTGTGCAGCCAAGGAAACTGAGTAGAGTTTGGAAAAGCGCCGACTCGAACTGGACACCACAATCAGTCGTAACCGTGGATGGGGCACCGAGCATGGCGACCCAACGACTGACGAAGGCCTTCGCGATGGTTTCGGCTTGCACATTCGGCAAAGGAATAGCTTCAGCCCAGCGGCTATATCGATCGACGCAGGTAAGGTGGGTGAAACCATTTGATGAAGGCAACGGGGCTACGACATCCAGGTGCACATGGCTGAACCGCGCTTCGGGACTGGGAAAAGTGCCTGGTGCGGACTTGTCGTGACGCTGCACTTTGTTGCGCTGGCAGCTCAGACACGACCGGGCCCAAGCTTTGACATCCTTGTTCATGCCAGGCCAGAAAAATCTTTCCGCGAGGTGCTTTTGAGAGGCTCGGACCCCAGGGTGAGAGATTCCATGCAAAGTTTGAAATACAGCTCGACGCATCGAGGCGGGCATGAAAGGGCGATGAAAGGAAGTTGAGACGTCACAAGGTACTGTACCAGAGCCGGTCATCAGAGGAACGTCTTTGAGTAGGAGACCACTAACAGACTCGTCACCAAGACAACCGACTCGCTGTTGCTCAGCCGCCATGGCACAAAGATCGATCCCACGTGCGAGCTGGAGGGAAGACAGCGAGGATCTGGACAACAAAGCAGCCACCTCATTCTTCGTGCCTTCAATGTGGCGGATGTCGGTGGTGAATTGGGAGATGTAGTCCAGGTGAGCGATTTCCCTAGGATAGTACTTGTCGGAGTGAGAACGAAGTGCAAAGTCAACGGTTTGTGGTAACTGAAAACAGTGAAGTCACGGCCCTTAAGGAAATGCCGGAAGTGCTTCACGGCCAGGTAAATGGCAAGTAATTCACGGCCAAAGACACTGTAGCGTGTCTCAGCTGGTAAGAGTGTTTTGGAGAAAAAGGCAAGTGGTTGAGTCGAACCAGCAAGGTGTTGTTGAAGGACCACACCTACGGCTACGGTCGAAGCATCTACCATCAGGGACAACAGAGCGTTGAGAGCGGGATGCGTGAGTAAGGTGGCATCGGCCAGGGAATTCTTGATTTTCTCAAAAGCAGCCAGTGCTTCACCAGTCAGCTCGAGGGGACCTTTGGGACCAGAAAGCATGTTGGTGAGCGGCAGCTTGATGTCGGCACAGTTCGGTAGGAACCGACGGTAAAAATTTACCATGCCGAGTAATCGCTATAACTGACGCTTGGAAAATGGATGAGGAAAATTACGAACTGCTTCAACGTTGGAGGGCGGGGGACGCAAACCTTCAGAGTCGACCTGATGGCCGAGGAACTCGAGCGAAGGCACACCCAACTCGCACTTGGAGGGGTTTATGACGGCTCCAAACTTCTTAAGGCGGTCAAACACCAAGACAAGATGGTCTTTGAGTTCTTCTTCATTCCGGCTGGCCACCAGTGGTCATAAATGTAGCCGCACACAAAAGGTAGGCCACGCAAGACATGGTCGATGAACCTGTGGAACGTTTGGGCGGCATGACGAAGACCGAAGGGCATGCGGATGAACTCAAAGAGACCGAAGGGTGTGGTGACGGCGGTTTTAGGGATGTTGAAGAAGAAGACACGATCGCCGGGACAAGAGATTTATTAGCCTGACGTTTCGGATTCCTGCTCGAATCCATCATCAGAGACATAAGCAAATAAGGGTGTTTCGTGCACATGCGGCTGCAGTATTTATAGGATGCAGTAGCCATGCTACCGCATACCTATGAATATTCACGGCTCTCTTCCCTTCATCAGGGATCGTTGCACGTGGCGTGATGGCCGATATTCGCGTCGTTAATTGCTGCAATTTCATCACGTGCGTTGGATGTTGGTGTGATCATTGCTCGACCATCTGACGCATCTACCCCGGTGTTGGGAGGAGTGTTCACGAGTGCGCTCCCCGCGTGGCCAATTACTCCGCCTAGACGAAGTCTCAGCACGCCGTATTGAATAGGAAGATCATTGCACTTGTTAATAGACTGGGGGCCAGTAAACCATGACTCAAGCAGCTCCCGGCTCACGTGGTTGTCACCTCTTGCGAGAATTTCGGCCTCGTCAAATTTGAATGTGTGGCCGGAACCCGTCGAATGAGCCGCAACTTGAGAGCTGACGTCATTTCTCCGCACTGCTGCAGCGTGTTCGGCCATTCACGTTCGGAGCTGTCTTCCGGTTTCTCCGACATAGGTGCTTAGTCCGCAAGTGCACCAGATCCGATTAACAACTCCAGACGTTTCTTACCGTGGCAGTGGGTCTTTTGGTTTCATTAAACGACGCCTGATGGTTGCCTTCGGCCTGTGTGCATCTCCAAACCCAAGTGATGCGAGAAGGCGGCCGACACCTTCCAAAACGTCAGGCTAATAAAGCTCTTGTCCAGGCGATCGTGTCTTCTTCTTCAAGACTGCTTCCTGGGACTCGTCTCTTCGCTTATATTGGTTTTGGGATGTCTTCATGCGCGAGTGGAACCTGCTGAAAAGCACGCACCAGATCAATCTTCGAGAAGACCGCTTTGCCGAAAAGGGCTCCAACAAGGTCCTGAAGATGAGGCACGGGGTATCGATCAGGAATGGTACCGCTGTTGAGGGCTCGATAATCGCCACAAGGTCGCCAGTCGCCTGATGTTGCCTTGGGCACCATGTGCAGTGGGGACGCCCAAGGGCTCTCGGAGTGTCGAATTATTCCCAGTTGCAGCATGTGCTCAAACTCCGCCTTTGCGGCCTGAAAACGCTCCGGCGCTAGTCGTCACGGTCGAGCAAACACGGGAGGACCTGAGGTGCGGATATGGTGCACAACATCGTGTTGAACCTCACAATTGCGAAACTGGGGGTTAATCATGTTGGGGTGAGTAAGCAGCAGTTGCCGAAAGGGACTAGCAATATCCGTATCCGAGACAGATAAGCTGGTGGGGGCAGCAAAGGGAGTTAGTCCACGTAAAAACAGACGAGTTGTGCGGTCGAGGAGACGGGCACGTCGACAGTCAACTAGGAGATCAAACTGGGCAAGAAAGTCCGAGCCGAGGATTGCATGAGGGACATTGGCAATCACAAAGATCCATGTGAATGACGGACAACGGCCAATATACGGAGTAAGGGACAGACTGCCAAAAGTGGGAATGGTGGAACAGTTAGCGGCTTGGAGGTGAAGACCAGGGCTAGGAAAACGACGATCAGCTGCAGTTGGGGGAACAACGCTGATTTGGGCTCCAGCGTCCACCAGGAAACGTCTGCGAGTCGCAGTGTCGCAAACATAGAAGGTGCGGCCAGAGCCCGACGAGCCAGATAAAACGGTCGCATCTATTCTCTGGCTGACTGATTTCCCTGTTTCGGCTTCAAAAAGCGGGGTGAGGAACGGAGACGGGCCTTTACGCCGAAATTAGTGTGATACCAGGAAGTATCAGCAGTCTGAGGTCGCGATCGAGAACGACGACGACTGTGCGAGCGACTGGAAGTTAGGCGGGCGAGCTGTATTTTAAGGGAGGCCATCTCATCCGTCATGGCCAACACCTGTTTCACTAAATTTTCATTCACCGACGATGAAGATGAGGTCTGGGCAACGGACGGTGACTGGAACCGTTACACCTCTATCATTTGATCCGCCATCTCTGCCAGCAGTGAGACCGTAAGATCTTGAGATCCGGACGCAAGGACCGTTTGAACATCTGCGAGAAGACGCTCTAGGAACATCTCCTCAATAAATTTATCGTCAACTTGCATGTCTCCAAGGAGAGAACGCATCTGACATAGAAGCTCTGAGGGCTTCCGGTCATACAGTAACTCCTCCTTAATTAACTGCTGATCCCGCTGTCGGTCAAGCACAGAATTAAGTCGGAGAGTTTCTGCCTTTAACGCTGAGTAGGGAGCATCTGCAGGAGGGTTAGCTGGCTAGGACTGAACTTGAGAGATGACACTATCGGAGAGGACTTCCACCGGTTTGTGGTATTTCGCCAACTGCCCTCTGATTGGAAAGTGGCGAACATATACCGCATTCACAAGGGTGGATCCAGAACAAGTACAAACAATTATCGGCCGGTGAGCCTAACGTGCATTTGTTGCAAAGTCATGGAGAGAATTGTCAAAAAATCCATAATGAAGTTCCTTGAAAAAAATAATTTAATTGCTAGTTCTCAACATGGCTTTCGACGACATCACTCCTGCCTAACTAATATGCTTCATTCAACGGAACAGTGGTCTCGCTCGTTAGACGCAGGAACAAAGGTCGATATCGTTTACATAGATTTCAAGAAAGCTTTTGATAGTGTTCCACACCACCGGTTACTTAACATGGTCCGAGAGTCAGGGATAAGGGGAAACCTATAAAACTGGGTAAAGGACTTTCTGACTGGTCGATCACAGTCTGTGTGTATTGGTAGTGCGAAGTCAGCACCAGTGCCAGTTGTGAGTGGAGTTCCGCAGGGCTCCGTACTCGGACCAGTACTATTTTTAATTTATGTCAACGACTGTATGAATGGACTGGACTGCAATGGAGTCATGTTTGCTGATGACATCACGTTATGGCGAGCGACCAACGGCGAACATGATGAACAGGCCCTGCAAGAAGGACTGAACCGCCTATTAGAATGGTCTGACAAATGGCTGCTAAAGTTTAACCTAGAGAAGTGCGTCGCGCTGCGACTCAAAACGACTGGAAGATCTGACGGAGAGGATCACCATTACGAACTTGGTGGAAGGTGCCTTTCAAATGTAACCGAACAAAAAGATCTTGGGATTAACATTCTGTCGACCCTTAAGCCTTCATCTCAGTGTGTTAGGGCGTCCAAAAGAGCAACTTGTGTTCTCTTTGCCATTAAACGATCTTTCGTGGACATAGACAGATAGTTATTTGGAAAAGTATACGGAGCGTTCATTCGCTCGCATCTGGAATATGGAATCCAAGCGTGGCGCCCGTGGCTAAAAAGACAATAAGTTGCTAGAAAGAGTTCAGAGGAGAGCAACAAAAATTGTAAAAGGCCTCAGGACTTTACCTTACAAATGCCGACTTAGGGAACTTAAACATTTCCTCTTGAGTACAGGCAGGTTCGAGGAGATCTCATACAGGCCTATCGGATATTGAGGAACCGGGAATGTGCCCTTAACCCCGACGATTTCTTCACCCTGGCCACAACAACAAACCTGCGTGAGAACTCTCTAAAACTTAGAGGATCCCGATGCCGCCTGGACGTTCGCAAATACTGTTTTTCACAGCGAGTCGTCGGTGCCTGGAACGGGCTTCCCGAGGACGTAATAATGGCGGATACCACGGAGACGTTCAAGCAAAGACTCGATGCATATTTGCTTGGACACTATCGCTTGTCTGGACAGAACAGCTCTGTGGTGCTAAACCATCGCCTTGCATACTCATACCGCTAATGCAGATGACTGTCATTACATTTTACTGAAATAATCTACAACTGAATGTTCTCAAGTTTTGGTTATAGATTTTCATGGAAAATATGCTGTTAAATGTGTATATTACTGACAGCATTTCAGTACCATGTTCATTTAAAGTGAGATATTGCATGTACAGTTTACAATAGGCTTTTCAAAGGCATTGCCTATTACTCTTAAAATATACTGACCTATACTGACCTAACGTTAGCAGAATAAAATGCTGATTCTATGCGGAGGAAGTAAGGTTCTGGAGCGTGTTGCTAGAAGTCCGGCAAGGGAAAATTGATGTCATGAAGGGATTGTTCGGAGGCATCAAGTTGTTGGTTGCAATGGAGCATAATAAGACAGAGATGGTAAAAATATCAGAATTCATGAGGAAAGTAAATCTAAATGGAATAGATATTCACAAACAAATAGTGCGTTAAATGTTATTCAGTATGTCAAAAAGGTATAAAGTCTGCGTTAACGTCAAGAGTCACCAATGTCTTTAAATGTAATGTTCTCACGAACTAACGAGTTATATCTCACGAGCCCCTAGCCTTTAGGATGCAAGTAAAAACGGAGCAGTGAATAATATAGAGAATTTAAACGTTAAGAAAACTGGCAACAGACCCCGACAGAGGAGCACGCTAGCACGGCGGGTTGTACAGGTGTGCCGTTTCTCGTCACATTCAAACAAGCAATGCGTTCAAAGAAAATGGGACTAAATTGTCAAAAGTAAATTAGTCAGGTACCTCACCACACACCTCAGGTCAAGGGGATTCCATAGTAGCAGCAGAGGTACTAGCCAAAAGCCCATCCGTGGTTGTTTCGCCGAACTTAGAATATATCTGTTTTTTTTAAGGTAGACACGCGCCGACCGAGATTTCTATTCATTAATATTTGAATAATAAAATATTTGGTTTCTAATATCGCTTTTGACTGAGGAAGATTGCTTAAATATGCAGAGAACATCGATTATCCTATGGTATAATCCGACTTTACCTTTCTGAAGACCACTCTGATATTGTCAAAAAGGGAGTCGATGTCGTTGAATAACAGATCGACCGATATGTTGCCGCAAAACTCCTCAAGGCGCATTTGCACAAAGGAACCGCTTTACACGTTTGGTACATTCAACAACTGCCGTGATACTTGTTCTTTATAACATACTTGAATCATACGTTTATTTAGAAAAGAAGGAAATCTACATTTTCTCTCAGAGTATGACTTATTATCTTGTGAGATATTAGTAAATTTGCAAACAAATCTAAACAGTCCGAAAGCACAATACTCTTCTCATCAACCATGCTTGGTTCATCGTCCTATAACGCACTATTAATTGCCTTTTGTTGCCCGCAAACTTATTTTGCAAAAAACGTACTCCTATCTGTCAAAAATTAATACCGTTTGACAACTCACCTTCGGGATTGTTTGTTTTGTCACAAAATCTGCTATCGTGGTTATTTGCTTTATGGAACTTTGTACAACACCCAATAAAGCTACACGGCCTTTTCCGGTATTTTACGGAATAACTATCAGAACCGATATAGGCTCTTGTAAATTATGTTGTATTTTTTGTGTGTGCCATGTTTACGGCATCTCACGTGTCACCTGCATATTGTAAACGACGTTAAAAGTTTAAACGGATACTTGTGAAACTACTACACTGCAACACCTGTGACTCTTCCTACCTTTCGCAAATCAGCTGTCTGAATTGGTCCGACATTCCAACAGAATTTTTATATCTTGACCATACATTTTTTGTCCATATATGCGGACTTAATTTATCCTGCATTTAAAGGACCAGAGGCGTAATTCACGCCAAATAAATAAGTGTTTAGTCGATCTGGCAATGGCAATTATAAGTTACGTCTAAAATAGAAACGTAAACCTTTCTGCGACCTTTCAATAAACAAATATTTACAAATTCGATGAACTAATGGTTTGAGGGGTTTTGTTTATGACAAACAGCATATGAATAAGACTGCAGGGCACAGTCATAGTACAGTTTTCCCTTCGGAAGCACAATATAAAAATAAGAGGATCACTTTTAAATAAACGGAATTCCCCGTACTTGACCGAATAAACGTTTCTACTTTATAAATAAGTGCATCGTGTATTGAGCCTTTTCGCCAAAGATTATCATTAAATGTGCTTTATACATACCTTATGGCAGCAAAATGTACAATTCTGACTAGATTTCCTTTTCCACGATAATCCATTTTTATTAGGCGCGGTGACATTTTGGTATTCTCTAGCCCACGAAAGACTTGGCTGATGATGTGAAGACATAAATTTTTTAGAGACCATTATTATCATGGTTCT